GCCGCGCTTCTGACACACAGCCCCTGGCCACCTCAAGGAAGCCCAAGCAGGCTGACGTGTGTCGTTGAATTATTAATGACAGCCTCGGGTACTTCTCCCCAGACCCCAGACCCCTTTCCCTTTCCCTTCCCCTTCCCCTCCCCCCCCCCCCAATCCTCAGCGGCACTTGAGGAGAAGCGGAAGGAGGGCCTCGTCTGTGAGCGCAGCGGCCTTTGGCACTCGCACTCGTACAGAACGCTGGCCTGTTCTCTGTTTACCGTCTTCAAGTGCGACGTCAGGATAAAGGGGATGGGATAGGATATGGTTTCGCGAACGGCAGAGGCAGGATGCGATTGCGTGAATGGCGTGGATAGATTGCAAGAACGGCGTGAGTAGGAAATTATTACACGAATGAAATGAAAAGATTGCGCGAACGGGATGTGTACGATACGGTTTGACTAACGGCGGAATTACGCGAACGAAATGGATATTCAAATGCTTTATAAGCCAGGTACGAAGCGTATCTCTTTTATTATTTATTTTCAATTACGGAAAAAACACGGTGGATTTCTTTCCTCTCATTAAACAAGTTAAAAGGATTTTTATCTTCGCTGAATACATAGCCGGATGTCATATTTTATTTAAATTGTCGATAATCATGTAAGGTATGTATGTATGAGGTAACAGCTAATTAATTCAGCCATAACTTCTTCGAATATTAAGTACAGATATTCTTGATATTCATGTTTTCGATCTCAGATGTTGCCTTTAAATGGAAAAGCAAACCGATTTTGTAATGAAGGTGAAAAAATGTAAAATGTCGATACTGATCTCACTCATACTCACGATCATGATATTAAAATGTAAAATGTCACGAAAACTATAACAATAATATAAGGATAAAAGCGGATTATGATCTAAGGAGAACAAACGAAACAAGAGGAAACTAAACATTCTACAAAACTTCAAACTCTAAAAATGAGGTTAAACATTCCTGAATGACCCACTGAAAAATCAACACCGGATGAGAAATTTTAGAGATAAAAACGAAGTAACAAACAAACATAAATGCATGTATTCTACCTGCATCATCATCACCTGGTGCCTTCCTCACAATGTAGGTTAATAAGTGTGTTTTTCGATCTTTCTTTTTACTTCATACGCAATGTACATCCAGTACGGTAAACGAATTCAAAATTCACAAACGATTACGATAAGACTAAAAATGAATCAAAACAATAGCACAAAATCAATGACTTTAAATAAAGGATTCTGAACGAATATTCGAATATTCAGTCTACGAAACACATAGAATTATAAACAGCCCAGTAGCTGATAGGAAAAAAAGATTATATGACTTTTAATCATCCTAATATCAATTAAATAAAACAATAAAGCCGAAAAAGAGGATAAATATATGTCAACGTGAATGTTCCTAAGTTCTTCATCATCACCGAAAATAAGCAGAATGAATCTATATATGAATCCGTTCGATTAACGTCTCGAACCGCTGCGGAACAAAGGCTCGAAGTAAGCGTTTGTTCAGCTCCACGGACTGAGGGAAAGTCAACGATATGTCTTAGAGTAATTAATCTATGCATCTACATTAATCTATATTCAGCAATTTACCTCACTGACTCAGCGAACTTTGCATTTAATGCTCGAGTTTCGATAAATTTACCATTCATTATTTCATTCATCAAATCTGTTAATTAGGCATTTATCATTAGACGTATTTTGCACTGGGAATAGAGCAAGAGAAAGCATTATGCTAAGGCCGCAGCTGAGCACCTCGTATCATATACTTAGCACGGGAATATTCCGACTTGCAACTAATAAGAACCGTAATATTGCAGTACTAATCGCAATATAAGACTACGCATAGCAGTATAATAAGTGTAACGTATATGCAATGTCCTGTGCACATATATTTGTGTATATATACATATATATACATATATGTATACATATATATACATACTCGTATACACATAATATACACGTCCTTGTAACAGAAAATTGTTTAGCATCCAATAATCATCGATTGCTTTCTGGTACCAGGTTCATCACCACTTTAATAATGTATAAACTGATACAGAAAATACAAGAGTCTAAACTAAACAGCCACAAGGCCCATTTTCCCGCAAAAAAAACACCAAGAATCCAATGAAATACAGAGATTCCGGATACAGCAGAAGAGACTACTAAAGCCATCTTCATATCCTGTTTAAAAGTCGCTCAGATTTGAATGAAATTCTTCTGGAATAGCTTTTTTATCCGAGAAACACGATTCATCTCTAAGAAAAGATAACTTGGTCGGAGTTTGGTTGACTTTCCGCCATTCGAAAGTTACTTCGCGGCGTCGGTGGTGCAGTCGATCATAATATCCAGACGGCCAGAAATAACGTCACAAAAAGACATTATTTAATGTAGGCCGTCTTTGTTTTATTTGTGGGAATTTCTTCAGGCTATGTAAACAGTTTATATGCTGCATTTTTATATATAAGAAGATAATGCTTTACAATTATTATTGGCAAGGAATTCCCGGAAATTTGTTAACCTTCTATTAAGAAACATTAAAAAAATAATATATTTACATAAAGTAACAAGGAAAATTCATAAACAAAATATCTTTTAAAACTCAGATTACAACGTAGACTGCAACGACGGCAGTTATACATACAATGCATTAAATGTAAGTGTCTGCGATGAAATCTAGCTTGCTGGGAAATATAACTCATATATAGTGCGTGAGTGTTTGTGTATATATGTGTGTGTATCTGTGTCCCTGTGTACGCTTGTGTGAACCTCAGTTTTGGTTCATCAACAGCATTACACACAGGCAATGATTGCATTATAATCTGCCAATCAAAAAATAAAATGTCTGGTGTTAAAAGCGGTACTTGTTGTTTAAAGCAACAATGAACCGTTAAAAATAAGCGCAAATCAATCATCCAATTGGAAAGTAGCCGGTGCCTTTTATTTGTTTAAATGGACGACAACGCTTTCTCGTCTGCCTGGCACTGACTTCACAATTCCGTTAATGGTTGCGCTGGAAAAAAATCTATGTGTGAATTGTGAGATTTTTGTCTAAATGTTTCTTCTACGTAATATATTTGTCTGCTTGTTTGTTTTTCATAAATTTTCTGTCCTGGAACAGCGATTTCTAAAAGAGCAAATGTAGCATTCTGGAACTGTAAGTCATCGCTTCATATTTCCTTCGTAAAATATTAAAATCTCACTCACTCACAGGATTTCCCTTCCTCCCTCT